ATGCATCGTTGTGTCCATGGCCGGTTTCTGCAGTGCTCTTCTCTTCTTGCGCTCGCGAAAGAAGAGCCAAGCGAGCAACGCAATGATGATTATAGCAGCAGTTGCGCCGACGCCGATGCCTGCTCCTGCGCCCGCCGATATACCACCGCTCGACGATACACCGGATTGATCTGTGGTATTGGTTGCTGCTGGAGACGGTGCGCTGGTGGGTGTAGAGGCCGCTGCACTACCGTCCGGGGACGCGGGTGTACTTTGTGAATTGGCTGAGGTTGTCGCCTCTGATGCTGCGACGCCTTGTGAAGCAGTGGCCGTACCCAAGCTGGCTAGTATACCTGAGCTATCGACCTTCCACCACATTGGCGTCTTTGTCGCGTCTGAATCCTTGTCTTGTGCGTCGCTTACTTTGCCTGCAGAGTTAGGGGTACGAAGTCAGTATGTGTCTCACATGCACTTCGTAGAGGCAAGACTTACCTGTCAGCGGGTTGACATAGCGCAGTTGAGATAGCCCGTCTGTGCAACAGCGATCATTCCCATAACACACGACGTTCTCTCCGCATGATATTAGTCCTATCCCCTGCCAATCTTGTTCTAGAAAGTCCTCTTAATAGTGTTCTGTATGAAGACTTCGACTTTATGGACTCACCGGGAAACAAGTCACTACAGCCCGTCCAGTTCTTGTCGGCGCAATATTGCCGGCCAATGTTTCCTGATCTTGTACACAGCAAGTTGCTGCCGCAACTTTCGCTCCATAAGCAACAATTGTTCGTGCCTTTGCCACATGAGACTAATTCATCACTAGTCGGGTTGTTAGATTGGAAAGTCTCGCCTATGAGAAGCGCACGTTAGCAATAGACAGAAGGGCCTATGATGGCAAGACTCTTTTGGTTCCGGAAGTACGGATGCATACGCACCATCGCGTGAGTAGCAATCGGCCCAAACGCCTACTGCCAAAGTGAAGAATATCACCCGCTGTAGAAGGCACACACGCATCGCAACGTATAAGGGAGTTAGACAACGAGGACGGCAAGAAGAGGAATGACGAAGAAAGGCGAACGGACTCGTCAGGTAGTTAATTAAATAAGACAGACCGATGTAGGCAATCTGTGTCACAGCCCTACGCAGGGCGTAATTGTAATATTCGGAATAGCGCTTAGGTTTGGCCCCCATATCCATTTACTTACCCAAGATGAATCGTATAATTTGGGATTCAGCCGTGCTGATCTGTGCCAACAATAAGACGATGCCGTGCCGGAAATAAAGGTGTTCTTCAAGTGTATCGCTCCACGGCCTAAGAAACTCGGCTGGGATGAAGTCCTGGGTGCGCGATGAGAAGTGCGCTGTTGTGGCGCGTCAGAAGGGCAGATGACTGCAGATTAGCCAATTGTTGGTCCTGATCGTACGCGCCACCCGATAGAATCAGATCGTACGAGTCGCCCAATAGAATAAGACAAGTAAATGAAATGGTACCGATGGAAATCTGACGCGAGAACATACGTGATCATCCATGGTGTATTATGCGGAAGGGCTTCGCATCTGTGAAGGAATAACACAAGTAGAGAATTTGCCATGCGGTTACAGTCCCAACAGAAGGCTAAGTCGGTGTTTTAGATGCTTCCGAACTGCATTGTATGTTGTGTAGAGAAAGTAAGGAAAGAAGGAGCTATGGACCAGTGGGAGCCAGTCAGCGTGTGGCTGAATAATCCGACAAACGTCATATTTCGTTTGGCCCGAGTTCCCGAACTTTCAATCACGAAGCTACATACCTCGCCATTGCGACCACACCACCCTACCCACCAAACATACCATCCACACCTATAGAAAAGATGGCATCAAGCACAATTCCACGTTCTGCCATGCGCAGCCTATCCCGAGCGACACCGTCTCTACGCTCCGCAACACCGCGCATCGCCACGAGATGTCTGCACCAACAAGCATCGCCCATCACAGCCTCGAGACTGCAACATAGACCAACAGCACAGCCATGGAGCCAAAGAGTAGCAGCCCCATCAGCGACAGTCGCGCGACGAACCATGTTCATCCAAACCGAGCCAACACCCAACGCCGATGTACGCACTCCCTCCAACCCCAACCCCACCACATACTAACTCACCCCAGGCCTTGAAGTTCAACCCCAACCAGCGCGTCCTCCCCGAAACAATCTCCTCCCCCTTCCTCGAATACCTAAACCCACGCTCCACCCTCGCGCCACCGCACCCCTCCCCGCTCGCCGCGCAACTCCTCAACATCGACGGCGTGACCAGCGTCTTCTTCGGCGCGGATTACATCACCGTAACCAAAGACACATCCACGCCCTGGTCGCACGTGAAGCCCGAAGTCTTCGCCCTCATCAACGAATACATGACGTCCGGCCAACCCATCGTCAACACCGTCGCCTCCAAACCCGGTGAGCAAGGCCAAGGCGGCCAAGAAGCCGATTCACTCGCCTACGACGAAAACGACGACGAAGTCATCGGCATGATCAAAGAGTTGCTAGATACCCGCGTCCGCCCCGCGATCCAGGAAGACGGCGGCGACATTGAGTTCCGCGGCTTCAACGACGGACAGGTTATGTTGAAGCTGAGGGGCGCGTGCCGGACCTGCGATTCTAGTACTGTGACGCTCAAGAACGGGATTGAGAGCATGTTGATGCATTATATTGAGGAGGTCAAGGGGGTTCAGCAGGTGCTGGACCAGGAGGAGGAGATTGCGTTGCAGGAGTTTGCCAAGTTCGAGGAGAAGCTTCGCCAGCAGAAGGGGCCGGATGCGACGAAGGGGACTGTGGGGAAGGGAAGTCTGGATTATGTGGAGTAGGCTAAGACTGGGGGTGTTGAGAGAGGATTCGACATTGACCATGTGATACCAATGCATTCATTCTGCTGTTGTTCGGCGTCTGCGATGGGATGTGTAGCGTGAAGTTGCAGCCAACTTTAGACTTTTGCAAACGGTGCGGTATATCCATCGGAACACGCACTTGACCACTCATTCCAGTATCATGACATCATGTCATAGGATTCAGTATATAAGAGTAGCGTTTCGCAAGTAAACAAAGTATACTACAGAAAAAACAACAACAAAAAGAAACAAGTAATCATGCAATGCCAACCGATCAACGTTAAATGGGTATCCAGAACGTACCAATGCTGTTGCGTCAAAGGAAGAAACCAGAGAACGAAAAAGGACAACGCCACTCATATGCTCACAACATGGCTTCAAGTCTTTCCACAACCGTTCGTAATCCAAATGCAACCACCTCCTCTTTCACATGCAAAACCCCCGCTTCATCCTTTCATCATTCATGTGCTCCGACAACGGCCGTAAATCATTGTAAATCTCAATGTAACATCCAAGTGCATGCGTGATTCCAAGATCGTCGTTATAATCGTCAAATGCAGTGTCGGTCATAGGAAAAGTCGTCGTTCGATCAGATCTCGCATCAAATCATTCTTCCAAGAGCAAATTCGAAACCGCATCCAGCGCTTCACCCATGGAGCCCCAGAAGCTGCGTCGGGGAGGCGATCGGATGATGGTAATAACCTTGCGCTTGGGCGATGACGGCTCTTCGGTAATGAGAGTGTCGACGGTATCGCGTAGGAGTTTGGAGTATTCTTCGTGAATCTCTCGGGATAGATCTTCTTCCTCGACAAGCGTCATACAGCTGTCTAGCATCCCGAACTCTTTCGCCGTGTCGATGTTATCGTGAACCTCATCATCTTCCGGTAGCGCCTCGCTCTTTGCGCCGAAATCCGACCAGACAGATTTCGCAAGATCGTCATGATGGTAGCTTTTGTCCAGCTCCTCGCGCATGGATTGGCGGACGGACCTCATCTGCTTGCGCAAGTCGTTGATGATGTCGGTTTGAATGCGGTTTAGTGTTTTGAACTCGTCCATGCGCGTCTTGAGGTCGTAGATGTACTTTTGCACGCCCGCGATGTAGTTGCCTACTTGCGAAACATAAGCTTCGTGGTGCAACGTTTTGGCTTCAAGTTGTTGTTGCTCACCCTCTGCTTGTGTGATGATGGCGAGTTCCTGGCTTGAGTCGGAGGAGGGCTTGTCGTCGTGTGTCGCTTCGGTTTGGGAGCCGCTGGGCGAGGAGAGGTGCGCGGTCATGGCTTCGAATTGTCCGACGATGTATTCCATTTGCTCTTCGTCGGGGTGGTGTGTTTGGATGAGGTTCTCGAAGTGCGCGATGCAGGATGAGAGCGCGTTCTGTACGGGCGATGAGGATGTCTCCGAGTCGTCGTCCCATGGTGTCGGTGAGGCGGGGAGTTCGGTGTTGTTTCGACGTAGTATGCGTGAGCTATCAGGAGTGTAGGGATAGCGCGGTTCGCCTTGGGTACGCGAATGCGACGAATCGTCAAAATATGGTCGCGTAGGTGTGTATGGCGCTGGTTCGGTAAGTCGTGAGCTGGGTTTCGGTCGCGGTCCTGTCGCAGGTGTGTTCAACCCGAAGCTATCTGTGACCCAAGAAGGATGGTCAGGCGACCGACTGGCCTCTTTCAGCCAGCGCTGTTCGGTCGCGATAGGATATCGTGGAGGAGAGGTACCGTAGATGTTGAAGTAGTCTGCCTTGTCTTCGAGTTCCGGAGGGGTCCATGGCCGGTCTAGGGTGCGAGGAATGTCCATTGCGCTTTCGTGGCCGCGCGATGGCCACATCCTCCTCTTGGCTTCCAAAATGATATGCGCAAAACCCAAGAGCTCTCAAAGGTATGATATAGCCCCAACAGCGATGCGCTCTGGTGTTGAAGAGAGCGGACACCTGCGTAAGCGCGGGAGACGGGAGAAGGCTGGTCACCGCTTGTGACGTGCGTGCATCGCCGAGGCCTGTGGAGATCTAGTGCGCCAAGAACTCTGCTATCGATAACAGTTTGTGGCCCCTCCGATTGGCCCGAGAATCATCAATTCTGGCTTCAATACACATAACGAGGACTGTATTTCACAGGTTCTTCTGTTTTCACCGCTTATCAGACGCTTAATAGACACATATCTCACTCTATACAAAGATGGCGTCACAGGTATGTCCATGACTCCACACATGGCTGGCTACAGAACTGAGCGCATGACCACTTAGCTAGGCGTTCAGCCATCGCTTGACACCATTCGAGAGGTATTGGCTGCAGCAGTCAAGTCGCCCAACCCACCGAACCTCGTGCCCGTTTTCTCCTCGATACCCGCCGAGTTCTTGACCCCGTCAAGCATATACCTGAAGATATCCGCAAAGTGAGTGTGACTCATTCCATGCGATGTGGACTGGAGGGGTTGGGTCACGTCGGAGAAACGCTGTGAGAATCGACTGTCAGAAGCGGGAGGGGTTGGATCGATTGCGCACATGCTAATCGTGGGGTCAGATCCAAGTCAAGACTATCCTTCCTATTCGAGAGTGCTGCGACAACCGAGACCATAGGACGGTATAGCTTCATTGGCGCAGGTCGGTACTTGAACAAACTTCCGGCATACACAGCTGACAAGCTTCAGACCCTCGCAAAGTCATCAAGACCGGCCCGGGCCATGGCGAAGAAACCGATCCACTACCCCTCCTCGAAAAGGAACTCGCAAAGAGCCGCGTCGCGACCGTACCCTCGATACAACTACCTCCTATGACCGGCGGCGCGGTGGGATACGTTGGCTATGATTGCGTCAAATACTTCGAGCCCAAGACACGGCGAGATGACATGAAGGATGTGCTGGGTGTACCAGAGAGCTTCTTCATGCTCTTCGATACCCTGGTGGCTCTGGACCATTTCGCGCAGGTCGTAAAGGTCATAACGTACGTCAAGGTCCCAGACAGCATGGACGACCTAGAACAAGCGTACGAGGAAGCGAAGAGTACACTAAAGAGGTATATGACGATACTCAAGGACAAGGACATCCCGCTACCGGAACAAGGGCCTATACAGCTAGGCCATCAGTACACATCCAACATTGGCCAGGAGGGGTACGAGAACCACGTCAAGACATTGAAGAAGCACATTGGCGTTGGCGACATCATCCAGGCAGTACCTTCGCAACGGTTTGCAAGACCGACTTCATTGCACCCCTTCAACGTGTACCGGAACCTCCGCAACGTCAACCCCTCACCGTACCTCTTCTTCGTCGACTGTGACGATTTTCAGATAGTGGGGGCAAGTCCCGAGCTGCTGGTAAAAGAGGAGCAGGGTCGCATCATCACGCACCCCATTGCCGGCACAGTGAAGCGGGGCAAGACACTGCAAGAAGATGCAGCACTCGCAGACGAATTGTCCAACTCGCTCAAGGACCGGGCCGAACATGTGGGTTGCCTGACATCAAAGTGCATGCAGCGACGTTGGAAGCTTACATTGTGCTGTACAGGTTATGTTGGTCGACTTGGCTCGCAATGACGTCAATCGCGTGTGCGACCCACTTTCGACACGAGTTGACAAGCTAATGGTTGTCCAAAAGGTGAGCAGCGTTCCGTCCGAACCGTGATTACCGTGGATCATGCGATGAGCTACCGTGCGATGATATCAAGCGAGCGCTATGATATCAAACTGAGGGCTATGCTAACTGCAATCAAAACCAGTTTTCCCACGTGCAGCACCTGGTCTCGGAGGTGTCCGGGGTGCTGCGACCTGGCAAGACACGATTCGACGCGTTCCGCTCTATCTTCCCAGCTGGTAGGTAGCGCGTTGAAAAAGTTGGAAATGTCGCTAACCGGCAACAGGCACGGTGAGCGGTGCGCCCAAGGTCCGTGCTATGGAGCTCATTGCTGAGCTGGAGCGGGAAAAACGCGGTGTATATGCTGGCGCGGTGGGATACTTTGGCTACGGCAGTATTGATGGCGACAAGGAGATTGAAGGTGCCATGGACGTGAGTAGTCTTGCCTTGTTCCAGGTTGACAGGAGGCTGATTTTTGCAGACATGCATTGCGCTAAGGACCATGCTTGTCAAAGATGGCATCGCGTATCTCCAAGCAGGGGTAAGTTTAACGAATTCCCTGCTTTAGCTGCAAGACACGAGGCTAATGATTGGCTGCAGGGTGGCATAGTTTTCGACTCGGACCCCTACGATGAGTGGATGGAGACGATCAATAAGTTGGGTGAGCTTAATTATTCCTTTTGTCGTCTCCCCCGAGTCAAACGCACAGAGCTGACCGCTGTTTGGTAGGCGCGAACACGCACTGCATCACATCAGCTGAAGAGAAGCATCTGGCCGAGCAGCAGGAGGCGGGCGAAGGGGACAGAGACGGGTCGGCGCCGAAGCTGGAGGGCGATGCAGAGGCGCGGATTACTCTTGCGGCTTGATGCTGCGGCTTGATAGACTGCGACATGCGCCACAGGTGGTATTTGCCGTAGGGTGGGTGGGTGATTGGCAGCTGTTGGCCCGGTGAAGAGCGATCTATGGGCCTGGATCTCATCCAGCCCCCCTGCACTCGTGGGGAAGCGAGATTCGTGGGTTCTTGGTAGCTTTGTGAAACGGAAATGAAAGGGCGGGTAAGCACCAAGCGGCAGCCGCTATCTCGACGTCACGACGACTGGTAGTGCTTGAATGCACACAAGATTTGATTAATTTGGTAGCCCGTCACACCAGCGCGAAGGCCGAGTGTGCGCAGCGGCGGTCGAGTTCGGGCAGGATGCTGTGTGAAAGCGTGACTGTGGAGCTGGAAGGCATGACGAAGGTGACGGAGCGGATACCACAGTCGAGCGAGTCGCGACGAGAAAGCTGGTTCGACATGTGAGTTGTACATGCAGCTTCGGATATCGGCCCTGGGGTGTGGTTGGCGTGGCTACATCATAAGGTAGGAGCGCTGGGGGCATTGGCCAATAGGTGCGCAGGGGACCGGTCGTGCATTCCGAGTTTCCCTGCTCTGGCGGCGATCGTGGAGTCTCTGTGCCTGGGCTTGGCTGCTGCTCCCTGCTCTCCACTAGTCCCGCTACTGACGCGCCAACCCGTCACCCAGCCCGTTGCAGCCTCCTGTTTGCGCGCAACTTCACTAACCAGCCACGGCCCAGCCCCGACTGTTTGTGTTCTTACGATATAAACCCGCTCGAGCTGCCCTCTCTTCCAATTCCTCATCCAGCATCCTCAACCTCAGCACCTCTCAACTCACCTTGACTCACCCTCACTTCGATACCTAGTATCCTACTTCAATATCCTCTCCACCAAAAACTCTCTCCACCACCCACAGTCAAGATGAGGTCTTACGCCGTTCTCGCTGCCACCTTCGCCGGTGCTGCTCTTGCCCAGGACATGCCCATGCCCAGCGGTGACTGCGCCGTAAGTGTCCCCACTGCCATTGACTATCCCGACCAATGCTAACAGTTGCTTAGAACCTGTGCATCAACAACATGGCCACCATTGCCCAGACCGAGTTCCAGTGCGAGAGCTCCGACATCAGCTGCTTCTGCACCCAGTCCAACTGGGCTTACGGTATCCGCGACTGCACCCGCCAGGCCTGCGACGCCGACCAGTCTGCTTCCGCCGTTCAGTGGGCCTACGCTCGCTGCGCTGGTGTCGCTGCCACTGGCTCTGGTACTCCCGCTGCCCTTCCCATCTTGACCTCAGCCGTCGCTAGTGCCACCGCTGTCCAGTCTGATGGCTCAGCTGTCACCTCCGTCATCACCTCTGTCGTCAGCGAGGCTTCCAGCGCTGCCTCCAGCGCCGCCTCTGGCCTCGAGAGCGTCACCTCTTCCATCGCCTCTGAGGTTAGCTCTGCTATCAGCTCTGCTAGCGGTGCTCTCGCTTCCGCCAGCTCAAGCATTGCCTCCGAGCTTGCTTCCATCACCGAGTCCGCCGGCAGCGCTGCTTCGTCCGCTACCGACTCCGCTGGCTCTGCCCTTGCCTCTGCCACCGACGCTGCTGGCTCCGCTGCCTCCTCCGTCGTTGATGGCGCCGCTGCCAAGGCCACTGGCATGCCCATCCTCGCTGGTGCCGGTATCGCCGCATGGCTCCTCCTCTAAGCGTCTCACCTTCACGTCACAACCAAGGTCCTCGCTCGATGGAGTAATGTGTATAATGACTGGTAGCATCGGGTCGGTAATGCGAGGCGGGCTTTGGATACGTGGATGCATGGCGCAGCTTTCTCTTCTTTCCTAACGAACACTCACGCGAAGGCATAATGATAATGACGGATTCATTGTGCCTGGGCCGTCTTTTATGACTGCGATTGATACCCCGACATGGGAAATGGATGGGCCATTAGCATTGGCTCCTGTAGATAGTAACTCAATGATAATCTCTCACGACATTACTCTTTCCACCTTGACTGTGTTGACACTTACTGCTCTTTGTCCTCTTTACCTTCTCGTGTCACCGCCCTCGGAACAACTGTGCAGCCAACAACGTCCTGCCGTGAAGCACTCGCCATGAACACGTTGCCCAAACCCACATCGCGTTGAGCTACACAACTCACGCCAAGCATACGTGGCACACTGTCACAGCAGCAATTGGCGCAAAGTCACGCAATGACCACAATGGCAAGTAAACAAGTCGACAAGCAAGTCAATCGCGCAACTCAAGACATGAAGTCAAAGACATGAAGTCAACTTAACCTCCAGCCTTACCCTCCACTTTTATCCTTTTCCGCCCCAGCAGATCATCAGCATCAGCCCCAGCCCTGTGGGGGCACCTTTCTTCTCCCACGCTCCGCGATGCTCCGCGGCCCCATATATGAGGGTTTGTGCGTCTGTCGTGCTTACAATTACACATTATTCCAGCAACTACTTCTTTTTCTGGAAGTGCTGACGCGTATGTACCGGCCGGGTGCAGATCGTGTGTATCAGATTGCGGGTGATCAGGAGTGTTGTTGTGGGGACTAACGGGTAAGGCACGAAGCGGATGTAGAGCAGGGACCATGTGTTTACGCTGTTTACGACAACGGTGCAGAACGGTGCGGAACGATGTCAGTGCATACGAAGTAGGCGGGTGTGGATGCGGGTACTGGGACTGGGTTGAGGTCCGCGGGAGGTGGTGATGACGATGGTGGTGGGATGGGTAGGCTGGTGGGAGGGTGCGTGGGTGGCTGGCTGGGCATGGGCGGTGGGAGGAGCCGCGGGCTTCCGGTGAGCACGTACTCAGCATTGCGCACGAACATGTGATTGTATTATTGCAACCTTAATGTGTAGTTGGTGTTCTAGGATCAGTATCTTTATGTAACTTCGGTTTGGTGCGATGGATAGCTGCGTTGGTCGGAGCTTCGTCGTTGCCTGGATACATGGTTCCTGCCTTACGTGCTCCACGTGCTCAAGAGTCTTTCGCCGGACACGTATGCTTCTTGGTTTCCTTTGTGTTTCCAGAGCTGGAGATTCGCATGGCTAACTATGTACTGCATGGTCTTATCGCCGCCTTCGATTCCTACCCATCTTGTCTGGACGTTGCGATTAGATCATCTGCGTCTAACGCCAGCTCTTCGTCTAACGAAAGACACGCGCGCTATTATACTGCGCAACATTGAGCGGCCTTGTGCACGACAAGCCTAATCTTTGAGCTTCGGTGAACGTATGGAAGGCGAAGTATCTTGTAGCGCGAATGCTAACATATGCTATTTAGCAATAGCTCTGAGCAGATCCTGGGTGCAAATAGCCACCCCGTCGACGAAAGCGTTCTTGAGCAAACAGAGAGTCACATCAATCAGCAGTTGGCAGCGCGGACCTTCTCGATACATCTGGTCATCTAAATCAAAGCATGAAAGAAGGGGATTGCTAAAGGGTACAAACGCTCAATCATTTGATATACAGCACCAATGAATACTCTTTAAAAGTAGGAAAGTTTACTACTTCTGCTATAATCTCTGATCTAGCATTGCGCAGACCGCATCGAAATTCACTACCAGAGATACACAGTCATGTCAACCGAAACTGAGAAGGACTATGCAAAGACAGAGACGCCACAAGATGCATCTGTAGCCACATTCAAGAATGGGATCGTTACAGAGTCCAACAATGATGCAATTGGCGATATAAACCATATCGAGAAGAAGCTTAGAAAGCTCACATTCGAACCAGCGGCTAGCAGCGATGGTTCCAGACCCGGTTCTACGCATCATCCACAAACCATGAGTCAAAGCACATGCACCACGATAGAGGAGCTGGAAGCGTCCTCTACGAATGACTCGGAACTTGGTCTACCAGCCCTCGAAAGTGTACCTCTTCCAGTTCGTCCACCAATCATTCGCCCGATCTTGTTAGACAACTACAATGCGACGCGGCAACCGCTTGGTTCTGAGCTGCCAGAGGCTCAGTGGTATGGAGGTGTTCTTCTTCGCTGGCCCCCATCGTTTACGGACCGCCTGAGCCTTGGATGCTTTTTTGACTGGGAAATCCGGATGAGTGCGCCGTTAGGCAGACAAAGAGCACGTGGAACGGGGTATCGGAGGAGATGGTGCAAGAGATGACGGGAATGAGTACGAGGCGTACAAGCACGCGATCATGGAAATGCGTACACATGGCGGTTCCTGTCGGAATTGTGGGCAGGGGTGTGAGAGCCCATTTTGTGGATAGGCTATGTTGGAGCTCGAGCATGTGCGAGGTTTCTATCGGTTAGAACGTGTTGAGTAGCATTAGTGGTGATGGGAATGCCATGGATCTTCATGACGATAATGCAAGAAATGTAGTCCCTCTAGTAGTGCATCAGTCGAAATCGATAGTGATGTGGCATTCCAACATCACAAATGAGGAAAGCGAGTCGATGAGATCAAGAAAAGTGAATTGCATCGCGGGCCTGTTCGGCACTCCGCGTCATCTATATACCCAAACGCCGTAGAACAAAGGAAACTCGTTAACCCAGCAGACCAACCGCCAGTCTACCACTTCAACTTCTTGTCCTTGCCGATGAACTCATCAATGATATCCAAGTAGTACTCCTTGAGGTCCTCGACCTTAGGCACCTCATCGCTCTTGCTGTAGAGGTCATACGGGTTAAACGCCTTGACGGCATCCAGCATGCGCTCATCCTTGCCGTTCATCATCCACTTGTACGCACCACCCGTGTGCCACGGGTAGAAAGAGTGATACCTGATCATCGCAAGACCCTCATCAGGGATACTGCTCTGCTCCTTCATGATATGGTAGAGGTACTCGTCGTGGCCCCAGCTCAACATGACATTATCCATGCCGCAGCCAGGCGTGTAGATGCCGTGCTCGGTGCTGTAGATATCGTCCTTGTAGTCTGGGTTGTTCTTGAAAGTGCCGGGGTAGATGATCTTGGGGGAGTAGGCGCAGCCGACGGGGAATGTGTCGCCGACTACGTCCCATTGGCCCTGCGCGTCGAAGAAGAAGAGCAGCTTGCCGAGGTCGTGGATCAGGCCCACGAGTTGGAACCAGCGTGGCTTGCCGTCGCGGCGGATGGCTTCGGCGGATTGGAGGAGGTGCTCGATTTGCGAGAGCGAGGTGTCTGGGTCGGATTCGTCGATGAGCGTGTTGAGCTTCTCCATTGCTTCCCAGATGGTCATCTCGGCGCGTGTCTTGCTGTGGAAGGCGTTGCGCGCTTTGAGGTTGTAGGCGACGGTTTGCTTCTCGTGTTGCTCGCGGTAGAAGTTCTTGACGCGGTCGCATGCTTCTTCGTATTGGCGGAACTGGGTCTTGTCCTTCTCGGCATCGAACTCGGATTGCTCGTAGATGTCCTTTTCCTTTTGGGTTGCGGTGCCGTTCTTGACCTTCATGGCGGCCTTGAGCACGTTGACGTCGTCGATGGCGTCGGAAGTCGCCTCGAGGGCAAGACCATCGCGGTGGTCGTTGAAGTTCTCAGCCACGTTGGGCGTCTCGAAGATGGCGCCGGGTGCCATGGTGTGAAAGGTAGTTGATAACGAAGAGGGGTATCTTAGAAGTATGCAAAGTACAACGAAGCGCTAGGCTATGATATGATGTTTGAAGAGGTAGATGAAGATTGAAGTTGTGTGATAGATGTCTGAATACCGACAAGACGAGAGGAGTACTTATCCTTTCCGTACCTCGACACGACGCAGCATGGTATTGCCAGAACTAGCAAACATCATCACTTCCGAAGTAAGCCCAGCCTGAATTCCTGGAGTCAGATTTCTCATCGTCTCCATCTTTGAGATCCACTCGTGGAGGTCACTCCGCACTACGTAGGGCCGTCGTAGGCTCGAACAAAGATAAGTCGGCACCATGAGGCAATTCTCCCCGTTTTGGGAATCTGCCGTTGAGCAATCGGAGCGAGATCTGGGGTTCTGGAAAGGCGGCTAAGGGTCCAGTTTGGCATTCCGCCCGTAGTGGTTGGTTAGTTGCGTTAGATCTGCCGTGGTTCGGTGGGCATGCATCGTGCGCGTCTCTATGGGGTTGAAGGGTGCAATTTTCGCCGCTCGTGTCTCGGAACGGCAATTCTCGCCGCCCCAACAGCCGATGGGTTTTTCACCCCGTCGTGAACACTCGGAAGGCTGCAGTAGCCCAGAAAACGTGCTGCACTATGACGCCCCAGCTGGCTCCAACTCCAGCCCCTCCAAGCACGTGACGCTCGGTGCCACCTTCCCCGACCAACCCCACGAACACGTTGGCTTTCCTGGGCGTCGTCTCCTGCGAAAATTTCGCGTGAGGCTGAAGCGCGTCGAGCGCGTATCAGAAGCCTCCCCGGACCGAAGCTACGCCGGCGGGGGAAGCATGGCGGGGCAGCATCGGTCGTCGGAATGAATTATAGAGTCAATCACGGTTGACGTATGTCCTGAGCCATGCCGGAAGCGTAACATTCAGCCACAATATGGAAGCTTCCAAGCAATGCGAGCAAGCCTGCCCCTGGCCTGGCCAGCAACACCCCACTGCTACTAATACCCAAGTAAAGCCGGAGTCGCGATGAATCCCGCCCTTTCCAAGTTTATGCTCAAGAGTACACCCAAGAGTATCCTCAACCCACAGCCCGAAATGAATACCGCTATCCCTCTCAACACTGGCGCGACCATCCCCGCCCTGGGTTTGGGAACGTGGCAGTCTGCGCCTGGCGAGGTTAAGAAAGCTGTGGTCCACGCCATTGAGAGTGGTTACAGGCACATTGACTGCGCCTTCTGCTACCAAAACGAGGACGAGGTCGGCGAGGCGCTTCAGGATGTTATCTCGCGCGGAATCGTGAAGAGAGAGGACTTGTTCATTACCAGCAAACTCTGGTGCACATTCCACACTCGCGCTGAGGAGGGTCTGCAAAAGAGCTTGGACATGCTCAAGACACCTTATGTGGATCTCTACCTCATGCACTGGCCTGTTCCCATGAACCCCAAGGGTAAGTCTGATGTCTTCAGATAATACGGAAACAAGACTAACAAATGCGCAGGCAACCACCCCCTCTTCCCCAAGCACGAGGACGGCTCGCGAGACATCGACACCTCCATCACCCACCAAGACACATGGAAGAACCTCGAGAAGCTGATCCAATCACACCCTGACAAAGTCAAGGCCATTGGTGTCGCCAACTACTCCGTCAAGTACATGGAGAAGCTACTGAAGATCGCTACCATCGTCCCCGCCGTCAACCAAATCGAGAACCACCCACTGTGCCCACAACAAGAAGTCGTCGACTTCTGCAAGGAGAAGGGCATCCACATCACAGCCTATAGTCCGCTCGGAAGCACAGGCTCACCACTTTTCAAGGACGAGGGCGTCAACGAAGTCGCAAAGAAGCACAGCGTCGGCCCTGCCGTTGTACTACTGAGCTACCACCGTAAGTCTCACCCACCCAACTCCTTAAACCCCCGTTACTAACCTTTCTCAAAGTCGCCCGCAACTCCTCCGTCCTCGCAAAATCCGTAACCCCATCCCGCATCGACGAGAACAAGAAGCTCATCTCCCTTGACGACGAGGATATGCAGAAGTTGGAGAAGATTCACAAGGAGAAGGGTATTACCCGCTATGTATACCCGCCATTTGGTGTCAACGCTGGGTTCCCGGATAAGCCCGAGGGCATGGATCTCAGCGGACCTTGACTGTTTGGGGCAAGCAGGTTGTAGGTTGTGCATGTAGGATAGGGACAAAATTTCTATACCCAATAAGACACTGGAATTTGCCGAAGATGCCTTATTCAAACTAAGTGCTTCGGAGAACTAGGGAACCATAATGTCTCGAGACTGTTCGTGTGATGAGATGAGAAGTCAAGTCAACAAATCCCTTGATCCAAGACTATGTTACTTGTCCATACAAGTTGCTCAAGAAAAACGTGCCATCAAAACCAGTCCATCCAACCACTCCCACCAACCTATCTACCAACCTACCTACCCATCCACCCCCCATCAACAGTAAGCACCTCCCCACTAACATACGCACTCGCCGCGCTCCCCAAAAACACCACCGCGCCCTTGAAATCCTCCGGGCTCCCCCACCTCCCCGCCGGAATGCGACTCAGAATACTCTCCGCCCTCTTCTCATCCTTAATCAACGCCTCATTCATATCCGTCGCAATATACCCCGGCGCAATCGCATTAACACTAACCCCCTTACCCGCCCACTCATTCGACAGCGCCTTGGTAAGCTGTCCCACACCCCCTTTACTCGCCGCATACGCCGGCACCGTAATACCACCCTGGAAGGTGAGGAGGGAAGCAACGTTTATGATGCTTCCGCGGCGGCCGAGGGGCAGGTCTGCGGGTGAAGATAGCATGTGTGCGCCGACGTCGCGGCAGAGTTGGAAGACGGAGGTGAGATTTACTTGCAGGACGGCGTCCCAGTCTTCGTCGGGGAATTGGTGCGCGGGGTGTCGCTTTTGGATGCCGCCGCAGTTTAACAAGATGTGGATTCTGGGAAAGTCGGCTAGGATGGTGGGGATCAGGGCGGTGATGGAGGACTTGGAGGAGAGGTCCGCGGTGTAGATTGTGGCTTTGCGGCCGAGGGATTCGATCGCTTGTTTTGTGGTTTGGTTGCTGGTGTCGCGCTGGGGGGAGGGTTGTTAGTGGGTGGAGGGGATGCAGGAACGGTGTTGGGTAAGTACTTGGACGAGGAGGATGTCTGCTCCTGCTTCTGCGAGCGCGAGAGCCATGGATTGACCGATACCTCGTGTTCCGCCTGTTACGAGGGCGGTTTGGCCCTCGAGCGAGAAGAGCTGCTGTACAGATGCCATGTTGATGTGTTGGTAGGTGTGGTTCGGAACGCTGTTGGAGAGGGATCAGAGCTGAGATAACGAGCAAAAGGTTATTTAGTGGTCTAAAAAGACAAGCAACTTGAACAAACAGCTTCAGGAATCTAGCAAAAGGCAACCAAGAAGTTTGGAAGCCTGCGGCAGAAGTCGACGGCTTTTCCTGCAGCGCAATGTTGGGGCAGCTCGGAACTGCCTCGGAAAGCCAACCCCACCACCCCAAAGGAAGCGTCGGCATCTGATGTCCCGCCATTTCAAACGCCGAAGGTGGAATTTGTCTCCATCTATTGCTGTACTATGAGGCAAGGCGCGCCGAGTGTCTGGCGCGTGATAGCTTCCCATGCTTTGCGAGATGAACTGATGCTCCAGCGACCTTCTCCCTCACTCCAAATCTTCAACCTTGCATTGCCGTTGAGCTGAACGTTACTATACCACGCGTGTTAAGCTTCACTTATACATTCATACTTCCGATTGCCCTACGAACCACGACAACATGTCTTCAGAGAGAAAACCAGACGTTGCCCAAGGCGCGAGAAACATCCGCGCCTCAGTACTTCACGGAGCAAAAGATCTGAGAATCGTATGCCAATATAGAAGTCCCCCGAACCTGCAAATACTAACATAAAGTCAGGAAAACCGCACCCTCTTCCCACCCTCCCCAACAGAGCTCCAAATCAGCGTCCGCAGCACCGGTCTCTGTGGTTCAGATCTTCACTACTACCGCCACTACCGCAATGGCGACATCATCGTGCGAGAGCCCATGTCGCTGGGCCACGAATCGGCTGGTGTGGTTGTAGACGTAGGTTCAGAGGTGTCGGGTTTCAAAGTCGGAGATAAGGTCGCGCTGGAAGTTGGACAGCCGTGCGAGAACTGCGAGAGGTGTAAAGAGGGGCGGTATAACATCTGCAAAGGCATGAAGTTCCGGAGTAGTGCAAAGGCGTTTCCGCATGCTCAGGGTACGCTACAAGATCGGATCAACCACCCGGCTGCTTGGTGTCATAAGTGAGTCTCGTTCCCAACGTGATTGTTGATAGTGCTAACGACGAACAGGCTACCAGAGGATATGTCACTGGATCTAGGAGCCCTCCTCGAGCCTCTCAGCGTCGCCATCCAAGCATCGAAACGCGCACAACTAGCACCGGGTTCAACCGTGTTGGTTTTTGGAGCCGGAGCTGTAGGCCTACTTGTGGCAGCCATGGCGAAGATATCAGGTGCTGGCACCGTGGTGATAGCAGACATTGACGCTGGGCGAGTGCAATTCGCCGTCGACAATAAGTTTGCGCACCACAGCTACACAGTGCCTATGAAGCGTGGAAGCACAATAGAAGAGCAGCTGGATACCGCGAAGGAGGTAGCTGCCGAGGTCGGAAAGTTGTTCAAGGAGAGTGGTGGTGAGATTGGTGAGGTAGATGCCGTATTCGAGTGCACCGGCGTACCATCATGTGTTCAAGCATCGATATATGTAAGTTCGCCCGGTCTAGTTGAGTTGAGTGGATACTAACAGCTCCAGGCAACACGACCCGGCGGCAAGGTACTGCTAATCGGCATGGGCACGCCCATTCAAACACTACCGATCTCCGCAGCTGCACTCCGCGAGGTCGATATCCTTGGTGTGTTCAGATATGCGAACACGTACCCCACTGGTATCGAAGTAGTGTCAAAGACAGGCGATGACTACCCAGCCTTTGCCAAGCTGGTAACACACACCTACAAGGGCTTGGAGTCGGCAGTCGAGGCATTCGAGATGGCCGGAAAGACCAAAGATGATAGCGGCAAGCTGGTCATCAAGGTTGTGCTTGAGACTGGTGAGGAGGAGAAATCGAATCTCTGAAGCAGTCAGTAAAAGTTGGTGTTCATAGGTGTAGAACGATGTAGCAATAGAGCGATGCAGTTGCGATCTCGATCTTGCTCGACGTGATCTTCGACGGACAATAGAAATCCGATCCCATCTTTCCCTCTCAGCACTCATTTTGGTGTTGGTAAACAAGTGACGTATGCGGGGAAGCACGGCGGTATTCCAGCCTCAAGCATGTGAACTGTCGCTAACCCTCTCTTTCTTTCACCCACGCACCGCGGCCCCAGCCTCCCCCATCATCCGCCATCCATCTCCACAACGCGAAATCTTCGCATCATACCCCAGAATTAGTGAACGACTTCCTATCGCAAGCCGGCCTTTCTGCGCGGAGTAATTTCGCCCTGCCCGATCGAAAGAGGAGATTTTCCCCATTCGCTCAACTCGGCCTTTTGTGCCTGGGCATGGGCGCGACGCGACTCCACGCGTTCCCCACACTTTCCACTTTCCGTCAACTCAAGATGCATTTCTCCACAGCGCTTTCGCGTTCCGCATCTGCCATCGACGTAATGCTCGTGCCGATGATCCGGTCCAGACATGGCATGTGCGGCTCAGCGTAGGGAAGTTTGCCGCGTGATCTAGGGCCTTGTACCCTGGGAAGAATGACGGGTGGCTTCGATATGCAGTGATGGATATTGGTTTACGCGGGTGGTAGGGAGGACGAAACTCGGCGACTGGATATGGAGGAGCAGCTGCTTTTGCGTGTTTGAGCCTAGTTTGGACCCTGAGAGGAGCTTTGACCAAGGTAGGATTCTGGGGGGATTGAAAGTCGGTGTATTCCCGTAGGTGCTCAGGCTCGCATATATCCTCGCTCTGAGCCTTGTCGAGTACTGTCTTGCTCTTCCAGCCCATCTCTTTCTCAATTCCCGTCCTCTTCTCGACATAACATCCTCACAATGGCACCCGCGATCCGCAGACTCCGTATTGCCGTCGCAGGCCTCGGCCGCATGGGCGCTCGCCATGCCAACCACTTCCTCCACCGCACACCCAAGGCTGAACTCGTAGCCGCTTTCACACCCGCTGAGAACGAAATTGCTTGGGCGAAGGAGAATCTCGAGCCATGGGGCGTCAAGATCTACACCGACTACGACGAGATGTTGAAGCACGAGGGTCTCGAGGCTGTCTGTGTAGCTACCGTTACCACAGTCCATGCCGAGCAGACGATCAAGGCGATTGAAGCTGGAAAGCACGTGTTGTGTGAAAAGCCGCTCAGCACCAAGTTGGACGTGGTATGTATTTTCTCCATCCCGTTTTCTGAGGGTCGATAACTAATCGTACTATCCAGGTCCACCAAGTCCTCGACACCGCAAAGCGCAACCCACACGTCAAAGTCATGTGTGGTTTCTCCCGCCGTTTCGACTCCTCCTACCTCAATGCCTACAACATGACTCTCAACGGCGACATCGGACGACCCACGATCCTGCGCTCACAAACCTGCGACAAGTAAGCAACGCCTCCATTTCCCACAAGCACACACACAACACCCACTAACACGTCTCACCCCCACAGATACGACCCCTCGGGTTTCTTCGTCGCCTACGCCGAGTTCTCCGGCGGCATATTCGTCGACTGCAACATCCACGACATCGACCTCGCCCTCTGGTACTTCTCCGCCGAAACACGCGGCCGCACCCTCCCCATCGTAAAATCCGTCATGGCCGTCGGCGTCACCGCCCTCGAACCCGACCTAGCCAAACACGGCGACGTCGACAACGGCGTCGGCGTCGTAGAATTCCACAGCGGCCAAATCGCCTACTTCTACAGCTCGCGCATGAACGCCCCTGGCCAGCACGACATGACGGAGATCATCGGCACAAAGGGCAAGTTGGCTGTGAATTCAAACCCCATGACGGGTTTGCTGGAGAGCCATATGAGCAATGGGATTAATAGGGAGATACCGCAGAATTATTATGAGAGGTTTGAACAGGCGTTTGTGGAGGAGGCAAGGCAGTTTACGGATGCGGTGCTCGAGGGGGGTGAGGTGCCGGTGGATTTGCAGAGTAGTATGGAGGCGGTTAAGATTGGGGTTGCGTTGCAGGATAGTTTGAGGAGTGGGAGGAAGATCTTTTTTGATCAGCAGGGTAACCGCGTTGATGATGCGAGGGCGAAGTTGTAGGTGGGGTTGGCAGGAGCCTTGGGCATGTAGGTGGATATAATTTTGGATCAAAAGTGTGTTCGTTGTAATTTACAGTGGAGTACCAGTTCATGGTCAGTCACCATGTCACAACATCAAAGACGCAAACAATGAGCAAGGAGCAAGACATCAGTGGGGTGGGTACAATGTCTTCTGGTATTTCTGTGGCTTTTGCTTCGACCAGAACCCTTCTCAAGGGTCATATCATACGACGTCTATCTACTATCCATCCATCCTCTCATCCATGCACATCAGTCATATCGTGTCGTTACATGAAAGCGTGCGCCCAACCCAACCCAACACCCAGAATCCAGTCCACCTCTTGAGTCCACCAGCACCTATCGCACAGCCATATTCTCGACATTCTCAAAAGCAAAGCTCGGGTACCCCGGCTCAGCAGTAGCAGCCTGCGGTGGAAGTTCCGACCGTGTATCACCCTTGCTGCCATCTTCCTTGATCACAGTACCATCCTTGCCACCTTCACCAACAGTGACGATCTCCACATCAACGCACTTCTGAACAGTCTGCTTCAACCCAGGCACCATAGCGCGCAGGGTATCCAGCTCATCGAACGCGAGTTCGCGGTTGAGGACGACATCCTTTGGCTCGCCGTTATCGAGACGGCGCTTGAGACCGTTGATGAAGGGCATGGCTTTCTTGGACTCGGACTTGTCGATGGATTTGCTGATGGCTTTGATGTCGAGGGTGTCGGCGTCGCGGACCATGTCGATGTACTTTTTCTGCCAAGCGGGCCATTCCTTCGCAGCGAAGATGATGATCTTCTTCTCTTTCTTGGGGTCGAAAGTAGCTGCTTTGCCCTTGGAGAGCTTCTTGATGGCGTTGCCCTCTGCTGATGTAATGTTCGTCTGTGTTTGGCGGACGAACTCTCGGGCGGCTGTGAGCGAAGCGTTGGGCTCGGGAACCTTGGGCCATAGGGCTTTCTGGACGGTTTCCTTGTTCTTGAGTACCTCGAGCCAGATGTATTCTGACCAGTGAGGT